CCCCTAGGACTGTCCCACAGGGAGTGAGACATTACAAAATAGAGCACGATAAACAAGAACCATTTCCATTTTCTCTTTGCAAGTGGGAAATTTTAATTCAATATGAATTTTAGCTAAATATATAAATATATTTAAATAAAAATATTTCTAATTGTCCAAATGTTTCATCTTCTTGGGGACACATTAGATAGCATTCAGCGTCAAGAAGACAGGTAAGATGGCGGACTAGAAGTGGCCTCTGTGAGCTGTAGCCAAGGGCAAGAATCGGCATGACTAAGAACGGGCTTTCCAGCAAAGAGCCCCATTGAAAGCATTGAAATTGCAAAGAGGGTAACAGAGTGAAGCATGCTGGAGGGACACAGGCATCATGCTTGAGTCTACACACTTAGTCTTCATTTTGCATTTGTTTGTTTGTTGTTTGTCTTTGTTGCTGTGAGACTGGATCTCTGTGTACTCCAGGCCACCCCAGAGCTCACTGTTCTCCTACTTCATCCTTTTAATTCCGGGTTCTACACAAGTGTTCCACCCTGCGCCCAGGACTGTCGTAACTGCATTCTAGCTTAGGAGACTTTCCTAGATTTTTGCTGGCTTTATTTTGATGGCTTTGCTGCCCCCTTTTTACACAAGGCAGAGTGTGATTACTGGGTGTGGCTATTAGTGTGTGGTTCCTAAAACATTACCTTGTTCTTTCCTTCTAGTTCCTGGTTCAGCCAATCCTTCCTATAAAAGATGAGAAAAGGGAACACACAACTGTGAAAACATTTATTTGCTCACCTACCCACCCACTACATCAAGTGATTGCTGTGTTTACCAAGCCACAACCATTACTAAAACTGGAAGCAGAAGATGATTTTTTCCATCCAAGCTTGAGTTGAGTTATGTTTAACAATTGAGAACAGAAGTGAATCATTCATTATTCCTACAGCTGAAATGATTATAGTGAGGGACATATAGAAAAGTCAGTTTGGGCTGGAGAGATGGCTCAGTCATTAAGAGCACAGATTACTCTTCCAGAGGACCCAGGTTCAACTCCCAGCACCCATGTAGCGCTCAAAACTATCTGCAGATCCAGTTCCAAAGGGTCTGACACCTTTATAAAGACACTACACTTTGGCGGTACACTAAAGCACACAAAATAAAAATAAATAAATCACTTAAAAGATTAAAAAAGAAAAAAAAAGACTAAAAAAGAAAGAAAATCCAGTCCTACCTCTGAAGCCCAGGAAATACTACAAACACAGGGTGATATGTCAAAGCAGAGAAAGCAAAGGGAAGTATGAAAGCCATTCTGGACCAGGAGAGCATGAACAGAGCGACGAGGCTCAGAAACTCAGCAAACAGGGGCTGTGGAATGGTGTGTTCGAACCAGAACGTGGTTACTGGGAGTGAGATGGGCGGCTCAGACAGGAAATTGAAGCCACGCCTTATAAAAGGCATTTCAGGCTACACTGCAAATTTTTGCATTCCTGTGACTGGGATCTAAGTCCCACCGTCATAAATATATACCGGAGAGTTCATCTTTGCAGTTTTGTAGACACACATAAAAGTGTGTCTATATAAAGAAGAGGTAGGGTATTTTTTGTCATTGGCTTGAAAGCATATTCCCTTAGAAAGACATGGAGTTGTCATCCAGCACGAAATGAAGTTGCCTGTGAGTAAGAAGGTAGGTGATGTCAGGGAGAAGGGAGTCTAGTGTTTCCCATGCTTCAGTGTTTCTACTCTACTTGTGTGGGGTGCAAAAACAAAACAGAGAATGCCTCAATGAAGAGTCTGGGGGGAGTCAGAGAAGCTCATGGTCAATATCTCTACTGGTAACTTCTTAAATTAAGGCAACCAGACACTTAGAAGATAAATTAGAATAAATTTTTAAAGTGTAGGAACTGAAATCTTACTCAGAGAAAGCATCATGGATTTCAGGAAAAGAGTTATTTGCCATATTTAGTTAAATGCTGTGGTGGCTTGAACAGGAATAGACCCCAAAGGCTCATGGATTTGAATGCTTGATCATTAGGGCGTGGAGCTACTTGATAGAGATTAGGAGGTGTGGCCTTGCTGTGTGTCACTGGGGTAAGTGTGTCACTGGGGGCTGTGTATCACTGGGAGTGGACTTTCAAATACTCAAGCCAGGTCCAGTGTCTCTCTCTGCCTGCATGCCACCATGCTCCCCGTCATGATGATAATGGAGATAATGGACTAAACCTCTGAAACTGTAAGCCAGCCCCAGTTAAGTGCTTTCCTTTATAAGAATTGCCACGGTCATTGTGCTTTTCACAGCAATAGAACACTGACCAAGACACTGTAAATGAATGATAGAAACCAACCAAGAATGCTGAAATTTTGACACCAAAAAGAGAAACAGTAAATTAGGAAACCCTGATATCTGTCGCAGATGGCAACTGTGAAACTGCACACAGTCATGTGCTACCACACATGGTATTTACTTATTTAGAACTTTATTCTAATTTGTATTAGTACTTCAGATAAAATATATTATTGTAAACCAAAAATTCTGTATGCTGCAGGAAGGTTCCTTAGTTCAACTATGTTTCCAAAAGTTTCAATTTCGATTATAAGTGAGGCTTATGCCAAGTACACATTGTCCAAGCACTCAGCATTCAGAGAAGAACATTTGAACTGAGAGGTTTCAGACCTTCCTGGTCAACAACGCAAGGGCTCATGGCATTTCCATTGGGCAGAAGGCATCTTTCCAGGGGCAAGGGTCAAACCTAGGGCTTTGCACATGGAGACAAGTGCTCTGAGGCTGACTCCATCCCCAAAAGCTTGCTGTTGTGAAACAGGATCTTGCTATGTAGCTCAGGCTGGCTTTGGACTGGTGAACCTCCTGCTGCAACCTCCTGGATGTCACAAGTAGAGACATGTGCCCCTCTACTTGGCAGAAGAGGAGATCTTTATGTGATCATAGAATGAGGCATGGTCAAGGATCACTACAACACGAGAAAAATGATTTTCCAGTTCCTCACACAAGCACCACACCAACAATACCAGTTTCCTGTTCCCACACATGGTGAGGCAGCCAAACATTTCAGGTAGGACCTGGTATTTAAAAGTAAAGCTACACTTCCTAGTTGAACAAATCTATTCAGTCATGACCAGTAGGGTGAGCTGCGTAAACAGTCATGTTTCCCAAGAGGAGAAAGGAAAGAGGAGGAATCTGAGTCAACAGGATTCTCAACTTCTTAAGAAAACCCAGAAAATTTACATGTAAATATTGAAGAACTATGAATACTGGCGCTAGAACTTTACTGAAAAGTAGGAAACATGGGTTAGATTTTAGGTTCAAAACCCAGATGACAATGAAGACAATGACGACATCATCATCATCATCATCATCATCATCATCATCATCATCATCATCATTTTATTACAGGAATATTGAATGTCCTCATGGTTGTGGTTATTTAAAAGAGGGAAATTCATCTAGGTTTTCTCAAATATTTTTGTCACTGTGAATTTTCTGTCAATTCTGTTCTGCTCTCAATTTTTAAAATATTTATCATTCATTTTGCATCTGCCAAGGCCAACATGTAAGGAAATGTTTACATATCATACGATGGGCATATATTAAATGAGTTAATATATAATAATGTTTACTTAAATTAAACAGCCCTGGAAGATGATCAGAATCCACAGTTAGGGATGACTTCTGTAAACAGGGCACTAGAGTATGCTAACACAAAACCACAAACACAAGGTCTAGAGTCATGTCTCCTGTAGGAATCTAACCAGTGGCCATAACACACAACCACGCTCAGCTCCAACTCTGTAACAACACAGCTCAGAGTTCATCTCACCTTCATTGTGTGAGCTCATTACACAGACCGAACAAAAGGAAAGATTCAGAGAAAGCTTCTCCCAATTCCAATGGCAGCTGCTAGAAGTGACTATAGATTCTAAGGCGAGCTTAAGTTTTATAGCTAGAGTGATGAAAAATAAATGCTGGATGTAAAATTTTGATAATAATTATAATATTCTATATAAAAGTAATTTTATTTGTCCTGTGAGAAAGGTACAGAATTAGTGAGGAATGTAGCGAGAAGCAAATGCAGACCTGAAGCTGGTCATCTCCTCCGCCATCGAGCCTCCTCGGGTCGTGCACTGATGTCGCCCCTCCAGCCGGCTCTGCTGACAAATGCACATGTGTAATGAGAAGCCGCCCCCTAGGACTGTCCCACAGGGAGTGAGACATTACAAAATAGAGCACGATAAACAAGGACATTGGGAGAATAGAGAATTTTGCTTATTTAGTTCATATATATACTTTTAAATATATTTAATATATATATTTATGTATGTGGGTATTTTGACTGCATATGAGTGGACGGTGTGCATTCCTGGTACTCACAGAGGGTGCCAGGTCCCCTGTAACTGGAGTGCTTGTGAGACTCCGTATGGATGCTGGGAATTGAAACCAGGCCCTCTGTAATAGCAGAAAGTGCTCTTAGCCACCGAGCCACTTCTCCAGCTCCCAGAGAAAAAAGATTGAATTGCCTAAACTTGCCATAATTATCCAGGGAATCACTGGTTATCCTGAGGCAGTGACAGATTCTTCCACAAGGTTTTTGGGGCAGTTTGGAAATTACCCATATGCAATTTTGTAAAAGAGTCAGAGAAAACAAGAACCAATAGGTTCTAAAGTGAAAAGCCAAATTTCAGTGAGCAATGAACATCACAAAGGGGTGAAAGGGTACAAACATTGTAAAGAAATGGAGATTATGGTGGAGCTATATAATTTACATTTAATTCTTTCCTTCCTTCCTTCCTTCCTTCCATTTTCCTTCCTTTTCCCCTCCTTCCCTCCCTTCCTATCTTTTAGTGTCCTGTTGAGGTTGGCTTCTACAGTGTGCTCCAGGAGGTCCTTGAACTCCTGTTCCTCTAACTTCAGTCTCTTAATTCCTGGAATTAGGAGAGTAATTAATTCCACCTTTGATTGTCTTAAAATTTTCACTGTAGCTTAGCAGATTTTCAGACATCCGGCAGCATCATTTTAATGCTTTTATGCCCTCTTTCAACACAAAGCAAACTGCGATTTCTTTTTCCTGAAACATCACCTTTTTCATTTTTTCCACTTTCTGGCTCTGTTGGTCCTTCCTATTAAAAAGAAGAAAAAGAAGACTTCAGAAAATACATTAATTCACCTACTCACTCACCAAGAATGCAGCTACCGAGACCACAGTGTTTACTGTGCCGTCAACGATAGGCAGTATCCTGCATCAAGCTGGAGGGAGAAGACACACTGTGCTTCCCCATGTAAGCAGAAATTAACAAACGTGAACAAAAATGAATTATCTGTAATTTTTGCTTTGGAAATGATTATTGCTAAGGATAAAGTTGTTACTTTGAAGCCCAGGAAATGCTATAAACACAGGGTGTTTTTTTTTTTTAAAAATCAAGGTCAGAGGAGGTAAAGGCAGGTGGGTAGGCTGTTTTCTGACCCAAGACAGAGTGAACACAAGATAAGGCATGGAAATGAGGAGAAACAGGCTATGAAAATGGTGTGCTTAAACTATAATATAGTTACTGGGGATGGTATGGACAGCTCAGACAGAATACTGGCCAACCACAGGAGACCTTTTTTTTTTGTGGGCTAGAATATAAATTTCCCTTTTCCTGTAATGGATATTCTATACATAGGTGGGTAAAAAGCCAGTCTTCCAGATGTGTAACATATATGAACATAACGTGGGAAGACAGGATAGGAACGCATATTTTATATGTTTACAGATTTATTCTTTGAAATAATTTATTTCAAAGATTTATTTCAAAATTTATTCTTTGAAACTTTATCATTGTGCACACCAGAGGAAATGATTCATGAAGAAAATATAAAATGATTCTTTCATGTTTTGAGAGAGGGTCTTGCTACATAGGTTGGGTGGCTTATTTTTCTCTGTATAGCCCAGACTGACCACAAACTCATGGCAATCCTTCTGCCTCAGTCTCCTGGGTGCTGGCATTACAGACATGCACTACTGTGTCTTGTGAGGAATTACTTTTAGGGTACCTTACTTTTGGGTCAGATGATGAACTGGGAAGCAGAGAGACACTCTGGGTGCTGGCTAGTCTTCGTTTGAACTCAGTGTACCCGCTCTCCTCCTCCATTATCGAGACACTTACAGAATGACAAATAAGGAAGAAGATGGGCTTTAGACGCTAGGACTCAAGTTCAAATCTCCTTCCTGTCACTTACCAGGTACAGATGAGTCACTTCCTTATTTGTGAGTTTCAGGTTATCTATCAAAACAATGTTTTGGGTAAGGTATAAAAACAGGTCAAAGGGCTGGCAAGATGCCTGCTGCCAAGCCTGACAATGTGAGTTTGATTCCTGAAATTCACACTGTGGGAGGAAAGAAAGGGAAGAAGTTGCCCTCTGTCTTCCACTTGGATATCATGGCATGTGCAGGCACTTTCCCCAATAAATAAATAAACAGATAAATAAGTAATGAAAAACAGGTTGAAGTGCCAGAGCATATTTTGATTATAAGTTTATTTAAAATACTTAAATTCTATGGGCTTTTGCTTCTATCTACAGACAAGTAGGAATATGTAACTGGCAAAAATGAAAAATAAAAGATTAAAAAGTATAGCAGGCTTTTTTTGGACTGCCAATAAATTCCCAAATTATGACACATAGACTTATTATTAGTTATGAATGTTTGTATCACTAGCTCTTTTTTTAAAATTTTAATTATTTTTAAAAAATGATCTTTTCTCATTTTACATACCTATCGCAGTTCCCACTCCCTCCCTTCCTCCCACTCCCTCCACTTTCCCCCCACCTCACTCCCCATCCATTCTTTACAGAGGGTAAGGCTTCTCACGGGGAGTCAACAAAGTCTGGCACATCACTTGAGGCAAGACCAAGGCCTATGTCTAGGCTGAGCAAGGTATTCATTCTTCCAAGAAGAATGGGCTACAGAAAGTCACTTCAAGCACAAGGGATAAATTCTGGCCTCATCCCCAGTGGCCCCACAGTCTGCCCAAGCCACACAATTCTCACCCACATTCAGAGGGCCTAGTTTGGTCCTGTACAGGTTCCCTGCTATCAGTCCAGAGTCCGTTAGTTCTCACTAGCTCAGGTCAGCTGTCTCTGTGGATGTCTCCATCACGGTCTTGACCTCTTTGCTCATATTATTGCTTCTCCCTCTCTTACACTGGTCTCTGGAAGCTTGGCCCAGGGCTTAGCTGTGGATCTCTGTATCTGCTTCCACCACAAGCTCTTATAACTTAAATTAATCTGTTTTTCTTCATCTACATTTTGCCTCAGGGCTTTTTTTACCTTTCTTTCATTCTGTATGTCCTACTCCATGTCTGTCTGTCTGTCTGTCTAACAGCTACCTGACTGGCTGGCCCCAGGCATCTCCCTTTCTTTCTCCCTTGTTCTCTCTTGTTCACTTCTCCCCCAGCTAGATTCCTCCTCCTCCTTATTCTCTCTGCCTTCCAGCCCCACCTACCCCTCTACTGCCTAGCTATTGGCTGTTCATCTTTTTATTAGACTAGCCAGGTGCATTAGGCAGGCAAAGAAACACAACTTTACATCATTAAACAAACTCAGCAGGGCTGGGGAGATGGCTCAGTGGTTAAGAGCACTGACTTCTTCTGGAGGATCCGGGTTCAATTCCCAGCACCCACATGGCAGCTACAAACTCAACATAAACAAATGTAACACATCTTTATATCATTAAGCAAATGCAGCATAAACAAATATGACACAGCTTTACATGATTAAAGTAATATTCTACAACATAAAGAAATGTAACACATCTTTACATCTTTACATAGTTAAAGTAATATTCCACAACAAGAAATTCAAAGAAGAGCTGAACGAAACAAAAATAATCAAGAAAAGATTAGTCACTGAGGGGATAAAAGGCATTTCAGAACAGAGGGAAACACTTCAGGGAACGAGTGGGCAGTGGCCTAAGGAAAACCATGCTGGGGAAACAGTAAGTATAGAAATAAAAAATCCACTAAACTCATGCTTAGTATGATTAATTAAACACTGTAATTAAGATTTTTTTCATGTCTGTTAAAATACTCCCACTCCAAACTTTCCTGATCTTGCTTACATACAACCAATGGATCCATGGCCACAGCTGAGTGAGAACTGCCGTGAAGCTTTTCATGGTTGAAAACAAGGTCCCGAGACTTTAGCAGGCCGGGAAAGGGATAAGAGACGGTGAAAGGAGGCGAGTGTGGTCAAAACACATTGTATATTTATATGGAATTGTCAAAGAAAAAATAAAGATATTCCAAAAACCAAGCCAATAAAAAAACGGCCTTAGTACCACTGCGTTTGTCAAAAATGTGGACTCTTTCTGGGACTAGGATGCTCAGGAAAATTCCAAACCAGGCACTTCATGACTGAGTTTTGTAGTTTGAACTGAACTGATCTGGACATACAGCATGATACAACCCCCATCATTCTTTGCATAGGGACAAGAGAAAGCACAGGGAAGCCAGTCAGACTGCAGTCAAATCTGGGTCAGCTGTATGTCAGTTAGGAAATCACGAGCCAATTATTCAACAGTTATGTGTGACATGAAAGTCACCTAACTGGTATAACATAGACTACAACTGTTAAGCCCAAATCGGTGAAGTCCCCTCAAAAGCCAACAAGGAGACTGAGTCCCACATGTAAAAAGCAAAGAGCCTTTATCTTATGTAAGTTTGCAAACTCAGTCTCTCCACATGTCCAATGTATTGGAATAACCGAGAGCCCCGAGCTCAGTCAGAATTGGGTTTTTAGGGGCTGGAGAGATGGCTCAGAGGTTAAGAGCATTGCCTGCTCTTCCAAAGGTCCTGAGTTCAATTCCCAGCAACCACATGGTGGCTCACAACCATCTGTAATGGGGTGTAAGCCCTCTTCTGGCCATCAGGCATACACACAGACAGAATATTGTATACATAATAAATAAATAAATAAATATTAAAAAAAAAAGAATTGGGTTTTTATAGTAGTAAGGGTGGGGGTGAGGGATTTCTGAGGTTCAGGACCCCTGATTGATTGACATTTGTGTAGGGGCGTCCTGGTGAGTGTGTGCTGGCAGGTGACCCTATCTACAGCCTTTGGAATGTTAGGCATTTCTTTTGGAAGGTCTGTTCTTGGGTGGTGCCTGGGTAATCTCAGTTTGTGGTTCTTCCTGCAGCCAGGTAATTGCTTCAGGGTAAACTACTGAGACTCAGGCCTCCATTTAAATTTATCAATGGCCGAGTCCTACTCTGGCAGGTGATAATGGTTGGAAGGAAAGAATTTCCTTTGGGTGACCTGTCCATACTTAGCTTATCATGGCTGTCTCCCACAACAACCACAAAGACACTTTTCAAAGCACTGGTAACGACCAGAACTATCTTAAAATCTAACAGTGTGGCCTTCCAGGGTAAAGCATTCAAAACATCAGGTTCTTCTCTGCTATCTAATCAGTTATCAAGTCTTTAGAAACCTGTGACTCCTACCTTCTGGAAGAGTCCTCTTCAGCACTTCCCTCCACTGCTAAAGACAAAAGTAGAACACATTTATGGGCTTCAAGAGGACAATGGGAACATTAGAAGCATAAGACTCTGATATTTTATTAGGCGTATTTCCTTGAGACTGAACCTGAAGAGTAGTCTAAAATGTACTCTAACTATACTACTTGTAGGCCATGAATGCACAAGAACTCTCTTGCTTCCTCTTTTGTAATTATCAAATGCGAGGAAGAAAATTGGCATCTGTGAAAATTCAGTTCCTTAAAGTAAACTGCTATGTGCAGGGACCATGACACCATCCTGGCACTGACCAACAGTGGTCTCGTTAGCAGAATCTCTACCATATGCCAACACTGTCCACACATAGTGTGATCTTTCTGAACTAAGGACTTAGGGACACTCCTAAAGACTGCAGCTATTTCACTAAGACACAGCACAGCTGCTTCAAATGTTCTATCAAAACTGTTCATTTGGCTACAAGACAAAAGCCAGGAAAGCAACCCCAGTGTTAACTTATGTCATAGATCAAATATACTTGAAGACATTCACAAAATATTCTACTCATTCATGCAACAGCTATGAAAAACATGTTATTCTCAGCATCTAATGAAATATTCTTTGAAATATATCTCACATTAGGCCATAAAGCAAGTTGGACAAATATAAAGGATTAAAATATTTATATCCCTTATCCAATCATAATGGAATGAAACTGGAAGTCAATAGCAAGGGAAACCAGGGTGGCTCTACTAACACAAAGATTAAATAACACACCATTGGGCCATGGAGAAATCAGAAAGAAAGACTTAAAACTGTATATTTAAGCAAGAAAATAATTGATAATAAAATTTTAATTATATACATCATGTTTCACCAGCAATTATTTCATAATATTCATCTAGTAATTACAATCTAGTTTTTTCAAAAGTTAAAAAGAAAAGATTTTTTTTAAAAAAAGAAGATATGTTTTTATAATAAGTCCAATTGCTTCAGTGGATTTGCTAAGTAAGAAACTAGGCAATATGGTAATTTGAAAATTGTATTCTATTTATAAAAATACACATAGAAGAAAAAATAAAAAAAAATATATACACAGAATTTTAGTTTCCAGAATAACTAAATGGACTTTTCTTCAGACAATATTCATTCAGGATGGAAACATCTATAAATAATTTCTTTAAAACATGTGAATTCTGAGCCAGGCGGTGGTGGCGCAGGCCTTTAATCCCAGCACTCGGGAGGCAGAGGCAGGTGGGTCTCTGTGAGTTTGAGACCAGCCTGGTCTACAAGAGCTAGTTCCAGGACAGGCTCCAAAGCTACAGAGAAACCGTGTCTCGAATCCGCCTGTCCCAACACCAAAAGAAAAAAAAAAAAAAAAAAAAAACCCCCAAACCAAAAAAACCAAAAAGCAAACATGTAAATTCTGGAATGCCAATAATGAAACAAAGAGCACAGGCATTTTATGCATTGATATTTTTAAACCTGCTCTTATCAAAATAGTCTCTTAGTTTTTAAAATCTAGGGTAGCCACACCTGGAGTAACTCTTACCTAGTTCATTCAGATTTCTTTCAGACTTCTCATCTCTCTTCTCTTTATATTCAAGAACGATTTTCATATTGCTTTGTAAAAATGATAATTAAAGTTAATACTGATGTAAAAATCATTTGCTCAGTGTGTTAAAATTTTCATGGTATTGCCCCATAAAGCCTCAATTGTTAAGCACCCCGAGCCTTTACGTCTAAGTGTGTGCTGTGAGAAGACCCTAGACTGGCAGCTAGCTGTCTTCCTGGACTTCAGTGACAGCTTTCATGGCAGCCCTGAAGCAAGAGACTCAAGGGAAACAAAGCCCCCCCCCTCCCCTCCCCCGCTCCATCTGACATTGGTCTTGAGAAAACCCCTAGCTTTCAGGGACATTTAAGCAGGTGGTTGTAGAAAATGGATTCTGGTGGAAAAAGCACTTTAATGCTAAACTAGACATTTTTAGACATAATAGATCATTATAATAGATCTAATAGGATCAATAGAATCACAGATGTGGCACTATTTCTACTCTGTTCTATAGGGGAATACTTGGGATGAACAGTGCTGGGATTTCCAAGAATTAAGATCTTAAGAGTCCTAGGATAGAGGCTGGTGGTAAAGTTCAATGTAGAGCTTGGTAAGCTTGCAATTCCCAGTACCACCAAAAACAAAACAAAACTAAACAAAACAATGAAGGCCCAAGATTATGAATCTGTCACTCACTGCTACCTCCGAGGTGGCTTTCCTTGGTACCTGCTAATGAATATAGACTAAGTCCTTGTCATTCTAAAGCTACCTGAACTGAGTAAGAAGCTTGCCCTGAGGTATAAGATGCACTATTGTAGTTTATTTTGAATCTCCGTTTAATAGTAACTAGCATTTAATATAAGCACTTACTCATAATATTTAAAATCATCAGCATAATCAATTGCGGTCAATCCAAGGGCATCTTTCCAAAAGAGGTCTACACCTTGCTGAAGAATAAATCTGACTATATCTGTTGAGTCATGACTTACAGCATGTATGAGGGCTGTTCTGAAAAAGCAGAGCGATACGTCACTCTTACTACTTTAACAAAATGAAGGATTAGTTTGCAATATTTTTCTATTTATTGTCTAAGTAGAATTGGCTATTAACAGATAAGCCAAGAATCTTGAGGTCTTGAGACTTTAAGAAAATAAAGTACGGAGCCTTCCATACCCCCGTGTCAACTCATCATAGATGCTGCTAACTTAAAGCCCTTTGGTGGACAATAACTACACCAAGGGCATGTGTCCAGGGTTGGTAAAACTTAAATGAAGAACTCTAATCAGATGTGATGGTGCAGGCCTGGGATCACAGTACTTAGGAGGCTGAGGCAGGTTGAGTCCAGTTTGGACTGCATAAGAAGTTCTCGGCAAGCCTGCCATACAAAGCAAGACTGTCTCATAAACAAATGAACCAAAGCAAACCACCAAAGACAGTCTTTCCTCCACTTCATGTGTAATGTGCTAAGATGCATTATATATACTTCCCAGGCAGTGGAAGGGCACCTAAGAAAAAGCTATTTTCTGGCCTCAAAGCATATCATCCGTGAATGGTGGTACACACTTGTCTGTCATTCCAGCACTAAGGAGGCTGGTGTGGGAGGATCACTGCAATTTCAAGGTAATCTTGGCCAACAAAGTGAGGCCAGCCTGGGCTACACAGTGAGACCTGTCTCAAAGGAACAACAGTTAGTACAGCAATAATTGCCATAGCGACAGTCAGTGATTTGAGCTGCAGATGCTCACAGTCACTTGCTAGGCAGAGAGCTAAATGCTGCATACAGAACCTTCCATTAACAACTTTAGGACTGATGACCCTGCTCTTCACAGTGGGGAACATGGCTAGTGGCAAGTAGTGTTCCTAAAGTCACACACATGGCCAGTGGGGAAGCCAGGCACATAACCCAGTCTTACGGGACTCTGCAGTCAATCTCCTTTGTTTTCACGCGACCTCTTCACCTTCATCAAAGCTTTATCCAAGCACAGCTCAGTTTCTTCCCCACGCCAGTGCCAACCCCAAATAAAAATATCCAGGTATGTTAAAAATAAAAAACAAAGAAAAATAACAGCATCTGGAACTAATAACTAATAGTCATTTAGGGTTAATATGGTTAAATATTTTTCAGACTATACAAGGACAGTTCTCTGAAGGAGTCATTCCAAAGACAAAACCATTTTAACTCCTGTTTCTGCTTACTCTAGCTTTTAAAGCAAAGTGTATAAAAAGCAGAGGTTAAAATGCTATGAAAAGATTAAGAAGATCAATATCGAGGCAAAAAAATGAGCTGAGTCTTTATGTTATCAAAGTACAATAAAATACACGGAACCTCCAGCTGCTAGTTTACAAACATCAGTAAATATGTAAGGGGCGTATGCTTTAATATACATGGTTCTTTGTGTTGCCCGTTCTGAATAATTCCTTTTCTGCATAGCGCTGATGATTCGTGTTGGGTTCTCATTAAATCCCAATTATTATAACTTGTTTTGTTTTCTATTAATTCAATATTTCTGAGTACTTGTTACCACTGTACACCACCACTAAGGTTTAGAGGATTATACTACCTTTTCTGGTTATCAGTTGCATGCACATTAGCATTCTTCATTGATAAAAATTTTGCCATCTTCAGTTTGTTTTCACTGACTGCCAGCAAAAATGGCGTGAAGCCACTCTGTAAAATGACAAAAAGAATTTAACTCACCAAAAAACATATATTTGTCAGCTGAGTTGAAAAAAAATTGTAGAAAAGCTCTCTGAATATGAACACACAATGAGGACACAGAGAATATAATCGCTGTGCCTCCTACCCCATGTACCATGGAGCCCCAGTCCTCTTCAAATGCCCACACTCTCTGTCCCTAAGAGTGTTTGTTTCAATTATGATGTCTACCAAGGCAGTCATGTGCCTGCTCCCACATAAACCATGTAAACCCACATCTTGTTTTATGTTAGTGCCCTCAGATTCTAAACCACAGTAGTGAAGTTAGCGGGCTATGCCATCATCTCCAGAACAGGGGTTCTAAATTTACCTTCCAAAGAATATCTACTTCTCTAGAAATGCCTTTACATGTGTATACATGTGCATATATACTCAAAACCCAATACAAAATTGTATTCCTATAGTGACAATTCATTATATATCTTCATATATCTTTGTATTTTCATATACCTTTGTGCAATGTCTACATTCTAAAACTCAATCCCACTTATAAGAGACTAATGTTATAAGAGAAAAAAACCCAGAAAAAGTCACTAACTGGAAATTGCATTCAGTCTCCTTGCGTAGGGTCTAAACAGAGACTGGTCAATTCAAAGTGCAACCTGACTTCATTGTGTAAATTCTGGAGACATATTGCATATTTGAGAATTTACAGTCTTATCCCAGTGGCTCTTCCTTCCAAAAACGTCTAACAGGAAGGAAATACTAGTTCTTCACTCTGGTTTCCCACTTCATCATCGCCAGGTTGTCAACCTGCCTTCCTCAGCACCATCCTGAAGTTGACTTCCTCACCTAGTTAGGACTCCATGAATTTCTTCCCAAGCTGAGGTGCCCAGATTGAACATCACCTTGACGCACAGCTGGTGAAATTTCCAGTACGTTGGTCTTTTGCTCAGTTGCCTTGTTTCTGAACTGGCCCGTGCATCTCTGATTCACTCCCACTCCAATGTGTCCTTTCTAGCCTTAGCAATGAGAGAGAAGTCTCTTTGATATAACTGGTGTCCAGCTACAAGATTTCTTCTTGTCAATAGCTCTGAGTTTTAAGGTAAAGCCCACATGCAAGGTAAACGATGCTTGCCTGTGTTGGTTTGCAATGGGCAGAAAAGCTAGATTTACCTTCAACAACTCAATGTTCTCACAAATATTTACTACGAATGTATACAAGAAGACTGTGCCCTCTGACACTTCCTTCAAAGTATCAACACTTAAAGAGTTGATATGCTGGAGGCAGAGTACGGTGGCACATGTCTTTCATCTCAGCACTCAGGATGTAGAGGCAGGTGGATCTCTTTCTGAGTTTGAGGCCAGCCTGGTCTACATATTGAATTCAAGGCTAGTCAAGGTATAGACGGGGACCTTGTTGAGAAGGGGACAAGTCATCCCAGGTACACCTGAGCTTGTCAAGATGGAAGATGGTGCCTGTGTGTCCGCAGACAAGGCTTCTCCACACACTATAGATATAGTGGGTCAATCGACCCCTTTCTTATGTATGATCTCTACCTTATTCTTCTCTTCAATATTCACTTCATGTTCAAGCAGTCTTGCAGCAAGTGATGTGTTCTTATAATAGACAGCATAGTGGAGAGCGCTGTTGCCCTGGGCATCCACAATATTTGGGTCGGCACCATTCTCCAGCAGAATGGTGGCACATTCTTCTTCCTGACATTGCACAGCCTGTTGGAGTTGCACCAAGAAACAGATCACAGCTTCAAAGAATTGCAGATAAACATCCTATAGGATTCACCATCTGCTTTTAAACGGACACAACCTCCTTCCCATTGCAGGCATTTTAATCAAGGTCATCTCATGCTGAGGTCCTGAGCTGCTCGTACCTTCACCAGACCTGTGCACTTGTCACTGTCAACGGCGTCCATCTCACACTTTCCCTCGATCAGGGCCTTCACTACTTTTGGGTGACCGTAAGCGCAGGCAATGTGGAGGGCAGTCCTGTGAAAATGGAGGGAAGGCTTTTTAGGAAATTATACAGTATGACCTGAAAAACTCAGTCTCTCAGGTGATTTTAAACATTAAATCACATGCAACTCCTCTGTCTTCAAATCAAATATTTATGGAGTGGTGCTTTCCTAGTGTCTTGACGTATAGTACCACATAGACTAGATGTGGTGGTAGCACCCTGTTCTACAGTGCCACATAGACTGGGTGTGGTGGTGAATGACTCCAGGCTAGCCCTGAAGAAGTGAAAGCAGAAGGATCAGAAGTTCAGGCATCCTTCACTACATAGCAAGTTTGAGGCCAGCCTGGGCTACATGAGACTTTATTTATCTTAAAGAAAAAAACTTAAATATTTAATTTTCTTCCACAGAAGCTATAATATTTATTGTTAATGATCCTTATTCCAATGAAAGTACAGTGTATTTGGATAAAAGGGGTGTGTGTATGTTCATGTATGTGTGTATTTTAAGCATTGTACAGGTTAGGTTTTTGTTAATTTGGCATAAGCTAACATTATCTGGAGGAGAAATCTCAATGCAGAAAATGTCCCCATTAGATTGGCCTGTAGGCAGTCTGTGGGGGGCACTTCCCTAATTAATGACTGATGTGGGAGGGCCCGTCCCTCTGTGGGTGGTGCTACCCCTGGGCAGATGGTCCTGGGTGATGTAAGAAAGCAGACTGAGCAAGCTGTGGAAAGTGGTACTCCTCCATGTCCCCTGCTTCGGTTCCTGCCTCCAGGTACCTGCCCTGACATCTCCCAGTGATGGAGTGGGACCTGGAATTATCAGATGGAATAAACCCTCTCCTCCCCTATTTGCCTTTGGTCATGGTGTTTATCACACCAAGAGGAAGCTAACTGGCCACATGTGTTAGGCAGGCGCTCTCCCACGGAGCTCTGTCCCAGCCCAGAGTGGGTAACTTGAAAGGAGAGAGGTGTTCTTTATAGTTAGCTCCACTTGGGTTTGATTCTTGCCTTAAGCTCTGTTACTCACTATGTTTTTTCCTTTCCAGGTCTCAATGTTTCTATCAGTAAAATGGGCACTGAAGCAGTGGCTGTTTCCTAAGACCCTCGTATGTTTGGATAAGAACCATATGAAGTGGTTTAAAAAGTTTCCAGCGCAAGCAAAGCTCGATGTTTGTCAGGTGTTGCAGTTATCACTACTGTGATGACTTAGAAGGACAGTGTTTCCAGGAATCAGTCACTCCCATCCTGTATGCTTTAAGGACTGACTCACTGTGTCTAGAGTGCCCTTTCCTCACAGTGAACATCTCTGGAGCTGGAGTTCAAGTTAGAACTCATGACATGTTGTAGCTTTTGTCTGGTAGCATTTGGACAGTTTCTTAATACACAGAATAAAGGTCATCAAGGAATCCATGGTGCCCCACACTTGATGAAATATTGTATTTTTCTTAGGTCCATGGAAGATCTAGCCGCCTAGATGTGCTTGGCAATTACATAAATTTTAGTTCTTAAAATACCATGGGCAAAGAGTTCTGAATAACAACAAAAACTATTTTTCCAGAAACTTTAAGCCAAGAGAACTCCTCAAAAAGGAGGTCTAGCTCCTCCTTTGAATATTCAGATAAATATAGTGTATGAAAGTCATATATTCCCAAGGACTTAGGCCAGTATTTAATGAGTATTTAATGTTGATCTCAAATTTCAAATGATCAATGAAAGAATGTTTTAATTTGAAGGAAGGAGAAAAGGCTAAGCTGAGTTCTGTTACTTCCCTTTTACATATTCCACTTTGTTAGCCTCAACAGGGAAACTCAAAGGCTCTCAGGACGAAAGGGTGCTGAGAGATGAAATATGTCCTCTGCCTATTTGGCATTTAGGATGCTTTTAGTGAACAAATGTTTGAAAGGAGGGAATAAATATTTTTTAGGGATATCTTTATGATCTGTTGCAGTGGTGGTGATCGGTTTTAGTTGTTATTCTTTGTTTTCAAAGGATGCAACTAAAGTGGAATTATTAACCTAGAGTTGTTTGCAAATATGCAATAAGTCTCTATATAAAGCAAACATGCATTTTCATGCAATGTGGTCTCCAAAAAGCCCACAAATATATTTCCCTTGGGTTGAAAGACATTGTTAGCAGAAACACCAATTCAAGCATATGACACACTCTCTAAAAGAAGTGAGAAATCTTGCCTGAGAAGGGTTCTTATTTCCATTCTTCCCAGGGGTTGTTGTAATGATAAGTGTTTACTACAACTTTAATGCACGTTCGTTCTAGAATTCAAGGTAAGTGGGAAAGAGCAAGTTTGCGGGTAACTTCCTTCAAAACCAACTGCACACTGCACACTAGTCCCCAGGATAAGACTCTGCAAAGGCCAACATACAGAATTAATACAGGAGTATCTTCTAGCTTATGAAACCAAGCTATGTGCCAACAGAAAGAGAACCGATTCCTCTGAGAACTGGAAATGTAACTAAGAAATTAAAATCGAAATTTGCATGTACATTTTAAACACATGAAAATAATTTTTAGAACAACTTGTCATTGCTTTGGCTGGTATGGGTGCAGATATTTGTGTTATGTGTGGCCTTTCAAATTGACATTCTTCTCACTTCATACCCAAAGTACTTCTTCCACCTGTGCCAACCTCGACCCATTTCTATGCCGTTGTAAAAGCTCCATCTTTCTCTATCCTATGGATGCACTGAGGTTTATGTGTAAAATGTGTTCTGTTGGTTATTTTTAAAATGCCATTTTAAATAATGATGATAAACAAATTGCATGTACACTCCATTATTTCCTATAGATACGTCAATACGGCAGAGTACATAAAAATCCCTTGTCTTACCAGGGTCACTAAATACTTTTCTATATCTATATAGCATTGTGATACCCAAGCCTGTACTTTACTCAATTTTAGTTATAAATCTAGGGCTTGGAATAGAGTGTTTTTGCTACTACAGCAAGGCCCTGGCTGCTTTCCACAGCATAAATAAGTATGAATAATTAAGAGTTTAGTGCTTTCCTTGACTTGAAAAAGTTCCCTATAAAATGAAGATATATTTTCCATTTGAGACATAAATAGTAAATATTTCATGTCATGTTCGGAGGCTTTCTTGTGCACAAAGCCCGCCTCCTCCACAGCCCCTCCCCTCTCGGGCCCTGATACCTCTTCTTCTTGTCTCTGTCGTTCACACCGCATTTCCCAAGCAGGAGCTGATGCACTCTGGCTGCATCCCCAACGCGCGCAGCCTTGTGGATCTTTCTCAGATCCTTGTCTTTGAGGCGATACTTGGGAGAGAGGAGGATATTGGCACTCTCAAACCCAGTGCCCAGGGAGTGCCGTTGCTGGTCGCGCAAGGACTGTAAGAGTTTCTGGCTTTTCTTGTAAGATAACCTAACCACTTTCGACATGGCCCAGGCTGCTGGACCCAGAGGTCCCTTCCTTCCGTCTTCTGTGTCCCATCCCCGACCCGACGCCCAACAATGTGACAGATCGCTTCTGGAGAAGCTAACAGCCACAGCGCGTGCAGTGGCCACGGAATCCCAACTGAGAAGTTCTATGGTTTGGGATTCCTTAAAGGTTAGCTGGTGCGGTTGCAGTTGGGTAGCAACTCTGTAAGCACACTTGCTCTGGTACTCAGTTGTCACAGCCAAGCCGCCAATGGTGTTCAGTGAGCATATGCAGCTCTGGTCCTGCCAAAGCCCTACTTTCAAAGTTAAGCAAAGGAATTTGAATTACAAAACCAGATCTCCACATTATCTCTGGAGAGTCAAAGGAATGGAGTGACAGCCAGGGTTATCACCACCAAATCCTCATCACCCAGGGCATACTTCAGGAGACCCCTGACCTCTGGAGATGACCACATCCTGAAAATACTGTCGTTAGCAGGGGGATGGAATACACGGCCTGCATGCTAAGAAATTCGAGATGTTCAGCTGTCTCTTGATTAAGGGACATGGGTTTGTAGAAGCACTGAGACTGACAATACCCTTTGCAGAAAAACAGGCTATAAAGATGTATACTTTTGACATCCAGGCGGTAGTTGTCGGGGGTCACCTGGCACTGGCTGGACAGTGTGCAGGCCACAGCAGCAGACAGGAGCATTGGTCAAAATCTGCACAGATAAGAGTGACAGCCGGGTCTGCTTGCACTGCAGGCAGGGCCTGGAGGAAGCCACTCACACCCGGTTGTACCTCCACACTACCCAGAGCAGGGCTCACTGCCAGGTGGGTGGAAGTCTTGGTATACTGTCATGGCGATGGGACCTGCAGCATGGCTTGAGGTGTACTCCAGCCAGGTCTCATTAATTTGGAATGAGAAGGACATTTAGATTATTCTGGTTTGGGTCTCTGCCTTTCAACCAGTTGCTGAATGAAGGTTCTATGGTAATATTTAAGATATCCATCAGTTCAACTACAGAGCAAGGCCAGGTCAGGCCCCCTCTCCTCTATTGCTTAGGGTCTTAGCTCGGGTCATCTTTGTGGATTTCTGGGAATTTCTCTAGTGCCAGGTGTCTTGCTAACCCCATAATGGCTCACTCAATCAAAATATCTTTCCTTGCTCCCATCTCTGTCTTTCCGCCATCTCAACTGTCCCATTCCCTCAAGTTCTCCTCCCCTTCTCCCCTCATTTTCCTCTTCTGTCCTCCCTACTTCTCCCCACCCCTATGCTCCCAATTTTATCAGGAGATCCTGTCTGTTTCGCATTTCCAGGAGGATCTGTGTATGTTTTTCTTAGGGTTCACCTTGTTACTTAGCTTTTCTAGGATCATGAACTATAGGCTCAATATCCTTTGCTTTACAGCTAGTATCCACTTACGAGTGAATACATATGTTCATCTTTCTGGGTTTGGGTTAACTCACTCGAGATGTTTTTTCTAGTTCCATTCATTTGCATGCAAATTTCAAGATGTTTTTTTCCCCCCATTGAGTAGTACTCTAATGTGTAAATGTGTCACATGTTCTTTATCCATTCTCTGGTTGAGGGACATCTAGGTTGTTTCCAGGTTCTGGCTATTACAGATAATGCTTCTATTAACATAGATGAACAAGTGTCCTTGTAGTATGATTGAACATCTTTTGGGTATATGCCCAAGAGTTTTATTACTGGGTTCTGAGGTAGGTTGGGTCCCAACTTTCTGAGAAACCACCATATGATTACCACAGTGGTTGTATGAATTTTCATTCCCACTCTTACTCCACATCCTTTCTAGCATAAGCTAACATTTATGTTTTTGATCTTAGCCATTCTGACTGGTGTAAGATGGTATCTCAGAGTCATTTCAATCTGCATTTCCATAATAGCTAAGGATGTTGAACATTTCCTTAAGTGTCTTTTTGTTGAGAATTTTCTGCTTAATTCTGTATCTCACTTTTAAAATTGGATTATTTGGAATTTTGATGTCTAATTTCTTGAGTTCTTTATATATTTTGGAGATCAGTCCTCTGTCTGATGTGGTGTTGGTGAGGTAGTGTCTGCCTTTGAGGTTGAGGTGTGTTACTTGTATACAGCGGAAGGCTGGATCTTGCTTTCATATCCATTCTCTTAGCCTGTGTCTTTTTATAGGTGAATTAATACCATTGATATTAAGAGATATTAATGATCTAATTATTGATCAGTGGTTGTTAATTCCTGTTATTTTTTGGTGGTAGTGATTGTGTGTTTCCCTTTTTTGGGGTTTGCTAGTGTGATGTTATCTGTTCCCTGTGTTTTTATGGGTGCAGTTAGCTTCCTTGGGTTAAAGTTTTCCTCCTAGTACTTTCTGTAGGGCTGGATTTGTGGATAGGTATTATTTAAATCTGGTTTTGTCATGGAATATCTTGTTTTCTCCATCGATGGTGATTGAAAGCTTTGCTGGGTATAGTATTCTGGGCTTGCATTTGTGGTCTCTTAGTGCCTGCAGCACATCTGTCCAGGACCTTCTGGGCTTTCATGGTTTCCATTGAGAAGTTGGGTGTAATTCTGATAGTTCTGCCTTTATATGTTACTTAACCTTTTTTCCTTTGCAGTTTTTAGTATTCTTTCTTTATTCCGTATGTTTTGCATTTTGATTATTATATGGCGAAGGGACTTTTTTTTTTTTTTTTTGGTCCAGTCAATTTGGTGTTCTGTAAGCTTCTTGTACCTTCATAGAAATATCGTTCTTTAGGTTGGGAAAGCTTTCTTCTATGATTTTGTTTAATATATTTTCTGTGCCTTTGAGCTGGAGTTCTTCTCCTTCTTCCATTCCTATTATTCTTAGGTTTGGTCTTTTCATGGTGTCCCAGATTTCCTGGATGTTTTATGTTAGGAATTTGTTGGATTTCCTCTATGTATCTTCAACCCCTGAGATTCTGTCTTTGATCTCTTATATTCTGTTGGTTATTCTTGCCTCTGTAGTTCCCATTCATTTATCTAGGTTTTCCATATCCAGAATTCCCTTGGTTTGTGTTTTCTTTATTGCCTCTATTTAAGACTTCAAGTCTTGAAGTGTTTGCTTCACCTGTTTGTTTTTTTTCTTGGTTTTCTTGGGTTTCTTTGAGAGATTTATTAATTTCTTCCAATTTTTTGTTCATCTTTTCCTCCATTTCTTTAAGGGAGTTTTTCATTTTCCCTTTAAAGGTCTCCATCATCTCATAAAATTACATTTAAAATTGTTTCCTTTTGTTTCTTCAGGTTGGGTTCTGGTGTTACCCTGTTGTTTTTTTAGGTTGTTGGATGAATTCTTGCATTGGCGCCTACCCATCTCTTCCTTCAATTGATGCCGGCAAGTGTCTTTGCATCTTGGTCCAATCCTTGTAGTAACTGTCTCTGTCTTGGGAACTGTTCTTCGTCTTATCTGTACTGTTACTGTTTGTGTCTCAGGGGTTTTGGAGCAGCCTACCTTCAGAACACTCACCTGCTGGCTGGTATAGAAGCCAAGGTAGGTGGGGATGGATGCAGGCTTTTGCCTCAGTATGGAGGGCCTAGAGAGTTGGGTGTCCTGCTGGGTGACTGTCACTCACCTCTTTGTCCTCTTTTGTGTAGTAGCAGGCTGTGTTTCAGAGTTCCACTGAGGTTGCAGCGGATAAGATGGTTTGGGGATGGGGTGGAATTTGTACCATGTAGGGTCTGATGGTTGGAGGGAGTGAGGGTAATGGAGCAGCCTACCTGCATTCAGGAATCTCTCCTGCTGGCTGGCTAAGAAGCCAAGGGAAGTGGGAGAGGGGCCTAGGGTTTTTCTCTGGTATGGAGGGCCTAGAGAGTGGAGTGTCCCACCGGGTGGCTGGCCACTCACCTGTTGGTTTTCTCTGTGTAGTAGCAGGCTATGTTTCCAGAAATAATACAGTCTTTACAGACAGGTAATGAGAAGTTATCTGAAAGGATTCATGCTATTGAAATTGACAATCATAATGTGTTAAAATGTTATAATAAGCTAACAGATAGAACATCCCTCCAGGAATGCAACCTACATGCCATCCAAATAATCTGTAAGCATGGGAAGATATCATTAATGAAAAAATTTAAAATGTTGGAATCACATGTACAGAGTGAGAATCACAAATTTGATGAAATCATTAGGAATATTCACAGGTCAAGAGATTCAGACTTTAAAAAGACAGTGACAAAAAGATTTGAATTGATTGAGGAACTTGTCAGTACTGATAATCAAGGAGAGGAGGTACAGGCAAAGGATAATAGTAAAGATTTATTTAGCATTGCTGGTACCTCTCAGAGTCAGAGATAACTCACCAAAAGTTTTAGCTACTTATACTGCTACTACCTATGAAAAGTCAGCAAATACTCAATACCTGAAAGGATATACAGAATATAAATGGGAACCTCTATGTATGAAATAAAAGATATCAAACACACAGCAGTATTCTATGGCATGCATTCACCATATGTAAGGGAGTTGGTAAAGGCTTCAAGAAATAGGGGTACTCTACATGATTGGCATCAATTATTCTCAGTTGTACTAGAAGATGGGCTGTAGTTACAGTGAAAGTGCTATTGGAGAGAGGAGGTTAAAGCCCTGGAATATCAAGGTAGATCCAGAGGATTTGAGGCATCGCAAGATCAAATTCTTGGTGAGGATCATTATGCTGATCCAGATAGTCAAGCTATGTACAATGAACACATCTTGTCCATATGTTTTACAATAGTCTTGAATGCTTGGGGTAAGATTCAAGAACTAGAAAGAAGAATTGAACCATATCCTAAGCTCACACAATGACCAAGAGTACCCATTTAGTGACTTTTTACAAAGACTGACTAAAGATGTACAAATAGGAGTAACAGATCCAGTAGCTAGATGAGTACTTATTGAATCCATGGCTTTTGAAAATGCCAATTTAGAATGCAAAAAGTTATTTGGGCCTTTAAAGGTCAGATCAGCACCAATGGATGAATGGATCCTGCACACAGCCAATGTTGAGACATTTGACTATAA